CGCTACGGCCACCAGCTGTGCCCCTCTCGCCTGCATCTGGGCTCCTCTTTCCGAGACAAAAAGAAGGCAGCAGTGGGAAGACAGAGGAATGGGAGGAATCTCGGCCCCAGTGAGCGCTCCGGCGCAGTTAAAAATAAAGCCGCCCCTCGGATCCTTGCGGATCCAGGGCACAGAGCCCGATGCCGAGTCCGCACAATGGCTGGAAGCGCCGGACTCCGCTTGCGCAGAGCGGATGCGACTCCCGGCGCCATCCCCAGCGCCCGCATCCGGCGCCCCGGGACGCGGCACCAGCCGGGCTCTCCGGCATTCCGAGCTCCCGGGAGCTGCCAGGAAACATTCCTGCCCGCCGGGCGCCGGCGCCGCAGTCTTCTCGGCAAGCCCCACGTTGCGAGCTCGCCGCCGAGGATGCCTCTGGTTTGGCCTCCGCCACCGCTCGCTTGCGTAACGTCCCGGCGCGCCAAGCGCGCGGCCCCAATTCCCTCTCCCTTCCAGCCCTCGCCCGACAGTGCCGGTAGCTCATCCATCCTCCGGACACGATGGATGTCCCCGGGAAGGCATCGCAGCGGCACTGCTTTTCCTATGGGAAGAAGCCTTTGCCGGGGATCCCAAGTGTGCCAAGCCCGCAGCGCGCTCGGGAGTGCTTCCCGCCGGGAGCAAGGGGCCACCGGAGCACTAATCCCCAAGGAATGCACCTTGCTCGGGTGACACCTAATCACCTTGCCGGGAAGTTCTGCACCCGGCAAGGATGTCAAAGCCGGTTACTCCAGGGTTTGATCCAAGAAAGCCAATTTTGCTCTGTGCGCTTTTCCTGCCGCACGCTCCCGTGCCCACGTGTCCGCGAGCCAACACTGACATCTAGAGGCACACTGGCCACCGGGCCACCGCCGCGGCCCCCGGCCCGCTCCGGAGCACCCGGATGGACGGGAGAGCCCTGGGAAGAGCATCCGGGCACGTGCCCCTTACCGAACTCGCTGGCGCAGAGGTGCTCCACGATGGCCTCCGCCTTCATCTCGTTGTCGCACGGGGGGCACACGGTGGTTCCTGCGGGGCAGAGCAGAGGACGGGCTGGGCAGCAGCGCGCGGGTGTCCCCACGGCCGGCGCATCCCGCGATCCACGGCGGCAGGGAAGCTCGTGCCATCCCGAGAGCAGGAAACGGCTCCCAAGCTCCCGGCTCCAGCTGGAGCAGAGACCACCCAGCAGCACAGAGGCGGATCCGGGCTCCTGACAGGGACATTTATTGCTCTGGGAGTCCTGTGCTTGCTCCAGGGTTACCCTCCGGGATGCGTTTTCCAGGTGGCGTTCCCAGCGGGTGCTGCCACCGTCCCCTGGAAGCGCCCAAGTCCCTGCAGCCCCCAATACCCCAAGCTCTGACTTTGCACTCAGCAGTTTTGCAACCTCTGCCCAGCTCCGGCTTTTCCCCCCGGCTCCGGCTTCCTCCGGGGGCAGGGGCAGGGATGCGTAATGCCGAATTAATCTGAGGCTCTCCCGGTGCATCCCGGGGGGCCTGCAGGCTTCACCGCCCGTGCTTAAGCAGAAAGGAATTTGCAGGTCAGCTCTCGGAGAGGCAGCAACAAATTCCAATTTCAAGGTGTTAATGGGGGGAAAAAAAAAGAGCGAGCACCCCGGAGCACTCGCTTTGGTGAAGATTTTACAGACTCGCTTTCTGCGAGCGTCTTTGCAAACTAATATAGCTCACTTAAGAGCGCACAAGACATAAGACACGGTGCTTGCACTGCGCGAGCGGCCACGATCCTTCATGCGTCGCCTTGCCCAGCTTCATGGATTGGTGCTGCAAGGCGCTCCGAAGCCGGCGCAGAGCTAGCCTTGTCCACATCCCAAACGCGACGCGGGCCATTCCACGGGCCCAGCGGTGCCAACCAAGGGGCTAAGCTCGCGGGGAGCCCCCTTGAATACAAAGGACTCCCTGCAGTGAGCGCAGGGCATGCATGAGCCGTAGGGAGCCCGCGCGCTTGTGCAGCCGTTCGCTGCATCCCATGGCAGGGAACGCCACGGACGCGCTCCCTGCCCGCTCGCTTTAAAAGTTTCGAGCACCGCGCGCTGCAGCTCGCTGCAAAGCAGCCAAGCAAGTGCCAAACAGCCTTGCTGAACATAATAAACGCACAAACGCGAACCGCTTGGTTTCTTAGCGGGTAGTAGGGATGCCAGGCGGGCTGGCGGTGCCGGGATCAGCGAGCCGGCAGGGAGCCCCATCCCGCATTCCCGCCCGCGTATCCCGC